AGTTACGAAGCTACGAGAATACTTTTTTGCGCAAAGAAAACAAAAATAACGACTTTATTTCACATTTTCGTCTCTACTGCGTCACTTTGGACGCACGTTCACAACAGTACCATGCTTCGTAGCTTCGTAACTTTACAGTTGAACCACTGATGTCACACGGACTACTTTGTCGATCATCTTGGTACTTTTCTGGACCTTGAACGTGGTAGTTTCCTTGCTGTCTATGGGAGGGTCAGAGAGCCCTCAGATTTAATCAAAAATATCTTAAATTGTGTTCCGAAGATGAACGAATGTCTTACGGGTTTCGAACAACACGAGGGTGAGTAATTAATGACAGAATTTTAATTTTTGGGTGAAATAACCCTTTAACAGCAAGTTTCATTCTATAGTTATACAATTTTTTTTTTTTATCTATACAGGACTGACATCTGTATTGTGTTGCTATGTGAATGTAGCCACTCTCTGAAGCCATCATCAGGCTGAGGGTTGAAGACATCTTGTTGCAATACATTTAATGTGGCATTCGTATTTAGTATATAAAGATCAGGGGCCAATGAGACTTTATTATCGATTGATATGCTACCAATGGGAAATCAATTTGGAACGTTTGACACATTGGTTTTTGTAACTTTTCAGACTCACTTGTGTGTTCATCTACTACCAGTGACTTCTGATGTATGACTCAAATATGATCAGAGAATGAAGCATAACAACACATGTAGCATTATCGGTGTGAGTAGAGGTGGAATGTACCATGAGAAAGGCCATTTCCTGTTCCTCCCGGAGGACATCGGTTGATTCCCATTTGAAGCACTGGTGAAAGTTCACTATGGATCTTACTCTCACATGCGCTTCTAGCTACTATGATTACTGCGTTATGCTGTTGAGAATACAAGGGTGAACATTCAGGTCATTTCATTCTAAAATAATGAGGAAAAAATAGCATACAGATAATTATGCCTGTAAGCTTTATTATTATTATTATTATTATATTTTGTATTTTGACATGTCCATGACACTTAAGAGCACTTTATTTTTAGTGTAATAATTTTGTTTCACTTTGTGTAATTCTAATTTTGCTTGATATTGACGGTCACTTTTGTAATACAGTAAAAATTAATGAAATACAACAAATACAACAACAAAAGTATAACAAAGCACTAATTAAAGGCATGACACTTTTTTTTTTTTTTGCATTAATGGGAATGTGATAGGGAAATGTACTTAATTGTCATAAAATAAGACTTTATTTACTTTTTGAATTTTAAAATATGAGCAGAACCTGTTTTGGGCAGATTGTTTTTGTTATTGATTCACCTGTGCATTTAATAAAATATAACGGCAAATCCCTTGACCAAACCTGAAGATCCATCTGTGAAAGTCACCAGCACACTCACAAAACCAATCCCATTACTGCTGAAGAATGTCGGTGGGTGTTGAATTGATCATTAGTGGGCGGCGCAGCTCTGATTGGCTGTTCTGCCATATGCAAAGTTGTAATGAACTATTTTAGAGGAAAAATATATTTGAAATATGACTCCAAGATGTATAAATAAATAACCATGAAAGACCTGCATTGTGTGTGGTTGTGTTCCTAAAACTTGCTCACCAGAACTGTCATAAATGCTTAGATTATTCAGTGTTGTTATGGCCTGAAGAATCTGTTACAAACATGATGCTTAAAAGACATCACGCTGCATCTGTTAATCAAGAGCTCGTTATTAACACTGACCACCCTGAAAGAAGATCCAAATTTACACCACACGCACTTTGCACATGGAAACCATTACTAAAAATTGAAAAATATTTAGAAAAAGCACACATAGCGGCCATATTTTTGCATCTTAAATATAATGATTAATCATAAATATAATAATAAAAACGACAGAAAAACAGACAAAGAAAGAGAAAAGAAACAAAAAATAATAAAAATGTGAGAAAACACAAAAATTAGTAAACCTATCAAAAATGAAAATAAAACAGGTCATATTTTAAAATAATTACACAAATAATTTGGATCTCATACAGAATTGTATTTATTTATTTATTTATTTTTGCTGGATTGATTGTCCCAATAGAATAAAATAATAATAATAATAATGCAGTACAATTGATTAGTATAAAGCATTAAAGGCACGACATACTTTATATTGTAGATTATTATTTAATTTTATTTATTTATTTATTTTGATATGTTTTTTCGGTCTTCAAGGTCTCCTTTATGTTCCATTGAAGAAACCCATATGGTTTTAGTAGATGATGGTGAGTA